GGCGGCGCCCTCTGCGCCTGTTCCGTGCGGCACTGGCGGTGCAGACGCTGGCGGAGCCCCTGCGGGCAAGCGGGGCGTCCTGCAGGGGCCCCTGCGGAGGGGCCTGTTGTCCTGGGGGCTGGGCATACCCAGGAGTGGTGCACTGGGGGCCGGGGAGCAGTGGCGACCGTGGGAGGGGCGTCCTTCTGGGTGCCCATGGGTGACGAGGGCCGCCCTGGGCGCTCGGGAGGAGCACAGGGCAGTGACCAGCAAGAGGCTTGGCTGGCGGCTGCCCCCACGGATGTTTGGGGGAGAGGCCAGGGCCCAGGAGATGGACGCTGCCGCCCGCTGGGGCTCTGTGGCCGGTGGGGTCCCCTCTTCGGCTGGGATGCCCACAGGGGCGAGGGGCAAGGGGGTTGTGCTAGGACATGGTGGACAGGAGGTGCACGCGGCCGGGCCTGGGGAGCAAATGACCGAATCGGGGGTCACCTCGGTGTAGCCAGAAAGCGGGGCCCTGGCTCAGAGTGGGCACTCGGCGGGAGGCCAGGCAGCCCAGTGCAGCCTGAGGTCCTCGGGGCGAAACAGCCCGTAGGCCCGGGACCCCGCAAGCGAAAGCTGCCAGTCCCTGGGTGACCAGATGTGTGAGGTGGGGAGGCCTGAGGGGGAAGGCCAGGGGGAGGGGGAGGGCCTGGGGGATGCCCCCGCCTGGCTTAGGGTGTGACCGCAGCTCCGCAGCTGACCCCCAGGTCCCCGGGACTGCGGCACCCACAGGGAGACGTGGCCGTGCTGGACCTGCCACCCGAGGGTGCTGCTGTGGGGTCCTGCTGCGGTGGGCAGCCGTCCTGCAGGGTGGGGCGCCCCGGCCTGCTCCCCACCCCAGCCTGGGCAGCCGCCTGGCACCACGGTTTCCATCCCATTCCGTTTGATCTGGGGTACAAGCTGACGAAAGCCCGGCGCTTTGACGCGCGCCTTCTGCTCGAGGGCAGTCGGGCCCAGGGCCGCGCTCCCCAGTCTCTGGCCCCAGCGGATGGGCTGCCGCAGGCGGGGTCGTGG